TGGGTCTTTCTCTGAACTCCTCTCCCTTGTTCTACCTCTCCCCTGCTCTGCCCAGCCGGACTTTGCCCTTCCACAGCCAACGAAGCCACATTCCCGCTCCCTGTCAGCTGTTCGGCTTCCTCCTCAGGGGCATGACATTATTAGAGTCCCAGCACTCAATGGTCTGAGGCAGGCATGCTATGTTTGTCAAATCAAATGCAAATGTTCACATTTCTTTCTTGGCAGGTTTATGATCAGATGCCCGAGCCACGTTATGTGGTGTCCATGGGGAGGTAAGTTCTCACTGAGTATTTTATTATCCTCAGAACTGGCTCCACCGCAGCTCGTTTATACAGCAAAACTGACCAGGTCATTATTTCCCGCAGATGTTTTAATCTTTTCTGCCGACAATGAGAATTTTGGGTCATTTGAGAATAACAAGATTATAAATCTTCCAAGCCATTGCAAAGGAGATTGTTTTGGGGGCGGGGGGTGGTGGTGTTAGGATGGGGGGGGGGCATCTATGCTACTGCAGGGGGTTTTGGGGGTTTAATGAAAAAAAAAACTTGAGTGTGTAGATAAGGTCAATTTTCTTGGAATTAGTCCCACAGCTGAGAAGGCTAACTTATTCCAAATCCATGTTTCTTTGTATGTTAGTTTAAATCAGGAGTTACTTAGGATTAAAACTAGACCCTTCAATCTTGATTCACTTACATGTGTCGTGCGAACATTGCCATGGGCCCTCCTTTGATTGCATCCTTGCACTTTCATTGACTAAGACAGTCCTGGTGGAATCATTTAATGTGATCATTACTGGCTTTTCTGAAAAAAAATATCCCTGAAGTGGCAGCTCCGTCGATGGCAGCAGAAATAGACAAACCAGGCTGTTCAGCCGTACCATTGTTTGGTAGTTTTTTTGGGGGGTCCCCAAAGTCTCACCCACCCCCTTACATAAATTTAAGTTAGTTGGATGACATAATGGTGGCACTTTAAAGTTGATTTCCTACCCATAATTGACTCCATCTTGGTGACTATAAGATGCGTGGTCTTCAACTCCCAGAATTCCTTTCTGTTCCGGGCATCTGGGTTCTCCCAGGGCTGACAAGTCAAAAGTGATCTATCATCCAGAAGGAAACAGGCCTCCGCTATGATAAAGGGTTGCTTTTCAAATGATCCCAGCACGGTTCCTTTTATTTATTTATTTTCAGCTGTGCCAATGGTGGAGGTTACTATCATTACTCATATTCCGTGGTGCGGGGCTGTGATCGGATCGTGCCCGTGGACATCTATGTGCCAGGTAAAACAAAAATAAAGCCATCAAGAGGTCTCTTCCTAGCTGGTCTTCCCCAAACTTCATCCCCCAAAAAGAAGGTCATTTGTGTCCAGATAAAAGAATCCAGGCTTCACTTCAACACTGGGCAAGGAATTCAGCTTAGTTATAGATCAGTGTTTTTCAACTGTGGCAACTTTAAGATGTCTGGACTTCAACTCCCAGAATTCCCCAGCCAGCTGGCTGGGGAATTCTGGGAGTTGAAGTCCAGACACCTTAAAGTTGCCACAGTTGAAAAACACTGTTAGAGGCAGCAAGTGACTTGTCAGGAACCTTTGTTAAAATCAACATTTTTAAAAAATGCAGACTGATAACCACCATCTTTACTCTTCCCTGAAGATTAGAGAATGTTACCTTTGCTCTTCTCTTCTGCCCCATTTAATGCTGCAACATCCAGGCGACCAGTAGGTGGTAGCAGAGAGCTGGGGTTGGCTCATATGCTGGGGTTGTCTACTACAGCAGGGGTCCCCAACCTGTGAGCCATGGCCTGCTACTGTGGCAGTGGCTGGTTGGTGCTGTGTGTGCACCGCAACAGGGCTGCATGAGTGGCTGGCTGGTGTGTGTGTGTGTACGCTCAGGGCCACACATCGCCCCGCTCAAGCATTGCACACAGTCTTGACCGTATTCCTGCGAGCAATGGGTGCTTGCATGCATGCTGGTGCATACCCCTCCCTCCCACAAAGCCACCCTCTTTCCCTCTCACCCCACCCCAACTCCGGTCCGCCAACCGGGAAAAGTTGGGGAACTCTGATCTACAGGTCACATGGAAAACAGGTCGGTCTCGACTTACCACTGCTCATTTAGCAACTGTTCTCAAAGTTCACAATAGCACTGAAGAAAGTGACTTCTGATCTGTCCTCACGCAACCATTGCCGCATCCCACGCCAATCAAAATGGAGGTGCTTAGAAACCGGCCTGTATTTACCATTTTTGTGACTTTCCCAGCCCGCTTTGGACAAGCCAAGTCAGTGGGGGAAGCCAGATTCACTTAATGACCGCATGATTCACTTAACAGCTGTGTTGGAAGGGAAAATCCCTCTGGTTCAGTTCTAAGCCGGGAGAAAGGCACGGGAAACAAAATGGAGGATGGGGGCTAAGTGGGAAGAAAGGTTACATTGATTGATGAGGCAGAAGCACCAACCCCGTGTAATTCTGGGACAGCCGACAAATTGGAGTTGAGAGTGGGTGGGCTTATAGACCTTCTTTGGGTTTTGTACTTGAGCTTCCTGTTCCTGTGCAAGAACATATCCTTTTGGCTGTTGTCAGATTCCTATGGGCTCTACAGGCAAAAGGGGAAATGCAAATCTTAGGTGCTTGTCTGAGCTAAGTTTGTCAACCTTTTGTTTGCTGCTTATCTGGAGTTTCAGTCTGACCCCAGTCTTTCTGAAAGGATTACCAAATCTGCATTTCTAAAAGCTGGCCTCCTCAGTTTCTGCTTGGGGGTAGAGAAACGGGGGCTGATTTCTATCTCTCTTAAGCGCATGCATCTCCATTTCTCCCTTTCAGGGAAATATTCTATCCCGCCTTTTTAATATTCCCCAAAATATTTCATTCTTCTGGGGGAGAGAGGGGGGGCTTCCCACAGCTGCAGTGATCTGTTTAACAACCATGTAAAATCAGGTGCTGTTCACTTAACGGTTGTCTTGCTTAACAACAGAAGTCCTGGTCTCGGTTTTGGTCGTTAAGTCAAGGACTGCTTATCTTGCAAAGCTACATTGAAGGGCCTTTTTTTATACAGGTAGTCCTTGGCTTATGACCAAAATTGAAACCAGGACTTCCGTTGTTAAGCAAGACAACTGTTAAGTGAATGGCACCTAATTTTGCAGTTGATAAGAGAATCATGTTGTTAAGTAAGTCCAGCTTCCCCCACTGACTTCAAAGGAAGGTCACAAACGACAATTATGTGGATAAATACCCCATAATAATATGCCAGTTGCCAGGCACTCAAATTTTGATCATATAATCATGGAGACGCTACGACAGTCATAAGTGTGAGGACTGGTTGCAAATCCCTTTTTTCAGTGCTGTTGTAATCGTGCTGTTTGAATCGTTGCTAAACAAATGGTTGTGATGAAGGCCCCGGGTGCTCTCTGAGGTTGGTGGTTTTCTTGCAGACATTTCCTGACTAACCTAGGCAACGTCATCAGTGCCTGGAAGAAAGGAGTGGGGTTTGTCTGAACACTCCCTGCTAGCACTGATTGTGTTGCCTAGTTTGGCCATAAAATGTCTGCAAGAAAACCAGAGAGCACCAAGGACCCCTCATTTCAACCTTAAATTACAAATAAGTTGTAAGTCTATATAGTTCTCAGTCCTAGAAGCTTTGCTACGTCTCGGAGCAATTTATGTTGGGAGAGCTGGATAAAGCGAGATCCCCTTGCTACGGCCTGGGAATTTTAAGATCTTCCCTCCACCTTTTTGAGGTCAATGTTTTGCCTCTTGCAGGCTGCCCTCCTACCGCTGAGGCCCTCCTGTATGGGATCCTGCAGCTCCAGAGGAAGATTAAACGAGCGAAAGCTATCCAGATCTGGTATCGGAAATAACGGGCTTGTTTGCAAGCAGCCATGTTCAAAATGGCCGCCCTAACTGTAGCTGTAGCACGCGTGTTAAACTGCTGTGTATAAACTTTGTCAATAAACGTATAATTATTCTATCTGGAGAAATGGGTTTGGAGCTTTTGAATGCTGCCTGCAAGGAGTATAAACCCTTCCATGCCCTGTCATCCAGTCAGAGCTGAAGAAGCTTCTTGAATGAGAAGCGAAACATCTTCAAAAGAAAAAACAAAAGTCCAGTTGCCCTTTGAAAAAGCACCTTTGGATCTCTAACAGAGTGTGTGCTATTAAGCACCAACACCCCGATCAACATCTAAAAAGACACACACAACAGGCACCATAAAAATACCACACGCAGAACTGCCCCAAACACACACACCGCTAGAAAAAAAATTCCCCGAGAATGGGCTCCAGCACAGAAGCTCAGAAGACAAAATCTCAGGTCCCGGTGAGCAACCCAGAATGGATCCTCCAAATCAAGGATTACCTTATAATCCACCTGTCTCGTTACCAGCCAGTTTCCATCATATTCAGAATCACACGGACGAAAATCTGAGTTTTAAGGAAAGGTTTGACTCTATGACGCACATACAGATGATTAGGCTCAACGCATTGTCAACTCATTAAAAAAATTTCTATGGTCTTTTTAGAGTTGCCAACAGAAAGGGAGGGGGGAGCAGTGCAGCAGCTTGCAAACCGAAACTGCATTCCATAAATGTTTTCAAAGATGATAACTAGGTGACTGAAGTTTCTGCCGTGCAAAATACTAACTGGAGAGTATGATAAATGACTCTTGGCTATGGATGTGTCCCATTGGAGAATATGAATTATGATACACTCAGGGTGTGGGGGGGAAAATCAGGTTCAAGGGTGACAATGAATGATGTGTTTCAGAGTTGGGTACACCCAGGCAGTGCCACACAGTTTTAACCCCCAGTAAATCCTTTTTAAGTTTTGGAAGTTTGGCTCATGATTTAAATGGGGGTAACTGCCGGAATCCTGACACGCATCTCCTCTCTAAATGAAGCACATGTGGCAGCCCAGATGTTCAGGTGTTGATTGCAGACTTATTTGGGAGGGACACAGCTGAAAGAGAGAGAGACACACACACACACACACACACACACAGGATTTTGGAAACACTGGTTAAAATAAATTCTTAGCAAGGGAAAACTCTAAAGTGGCTCTCTTCCACACATTAGTTTTCACCTCTCCCATCTGCCATGAGAGAACAACATTTCATGTGACTGCTGGTGTGTCTTGCCAACACACCGATCCCTTTTTTTGATCCTGAGAGATCTTCCTCCCTGGGAGATCTATTTGAAGATGGCAGGCACGATCATCTTGGGGAAGGCATAGTATCTGCAGTCAGCTGGAGGAATCAGGTCCATAAGGGTAGTGTGGATATTCTTGGTCTCAAAACCGGCCTCCATCAAGTGAGTAATTTGTGTTTCCTAAGGAAAAGTATCAACGGGAGAATTACCCTGTGTTCACACAACATGCTAAGCCACAGTTTAAAACCAGAAATATTTTGGTTAGGTATATTGCCAGAAAACTATAATAAAGGGATTACATATTTAATAATACGCGTGCTGATCGCAGCAAGAATTGTATTGGCACAATATTGGAAACATGAGAATGCACTTACAGAGGAAAGTATAATTAGAAAAATATTAGCCTGTGCAGAGATAGATGAACATTAATACTAAAAGATAAGGAAGGAACGGGATATATTTTAACATGGGATTTGTTTCATCAATGGTTAGAGAAAAGAAGTAGAAATTAGAAGATGAAGGATTACTGATACGTATAAGTAAAGGATGCAAGAATTTGATTATACGAAAGTAAACATAATTATTACAGTTGTTACAATTACTATTATTACCAGTATTGTATAAGTAAATTGATCCATGCAATAAACAGTGTTTATTAAGAAGCTTATATACTTTAAAGAAAAATGTATAAATAAAATTCAGAAAAAACCCATGCTAAGCCACAGTTTAAATAAACCATAACTGGCTGGATCCACATGACCTCTTAAGGCAGGGTGGGTCTATATTTTTTCACAGATGTATCCAAAAGAGAAGGAAGAGGAGCCTTCTGAGAATGCTACTGTCTTGAGAAGGACTTCTGTCAATGGGAACACTCAAGGAGCTGCTTAGAAGAACCTCAACGTGTCTTTGTTGGTTTTGGGAGGCTAACCCTGCAGACAGTGGGCAGGACTTCTCATTTTCCTCCTTCAAGCAAACCACATACATTCAGCAAGTTTTCTTGCAAGACACACAGCAACACAGAGCTAATTGTGTGTTGTGTTGGTGAAGGTGCTGGGTTAGGGATGGGTTCTCCACCAGAGATGGTACTCAGCCGGTTCTGACCAGTTCTGGAGAACCAAGAGCGGGAATTTTGAGTAGTTCAAAGAACCAGCAAATCCCACTTCTGACTGGCTCCCCAGCCCCCACCTATTCTCCGCCTCCCATTGAGTCCCAGCTGATAGGCTGGGTCTTCTTTGGTTGCCCTGCACAGGAGAATAGAGCTGGAAAGCAGGTTAGTGGGGTGGGGAGGAAAGGGGGATTTTGTAGTATCCTTCCACTGCCACGCCCACACAACCGGTAGTAAAAGAAATTGAATCCCACCACTGTTCTCCACCCAGTGAAGTCTCCTGCACTGCAGCTTTCCCCTGCTCTCACCTGAAACATCTTTTCAATGTCCGAATACTTGCTCTTCATTAGGTCCCCCCAGGAAGTCAAGTTGCAATAGGTGAAGACCCCACCTGGCTTCAGGAGGCGATGGGCGTGAGCCTACAGGGAGAAAAGGAGGAGTGGCATTTGGGTGGAGGTAGCGTTAGGCGCAAAGAATCAGGACCACGCATTAAGCTCCAGTTGATTTTATTGCTCATGCTTATACACAAGAATCTGGTCAACTAACGGTCAGCACTAAATTGGCGCTAGATAAGAATGAACAGAATTCAAGAGGGGTTGGATTTAGACGGTTTGTGGGAATGAATTGACTCCAGGCTGATTCCTCTCTTGACTTGTCCTTCTCCTATAGGAAGGGAATGCTCCAGAATCTGTTGCTTGGTGTGGTGGAATGTAGTCTGGATTCCCAGAGGGAGGGGTGGCATTCCAGAGGAACAGTTTGTATGGTAGAAAGAGGACGATTCCTCCCTAATAGTTCCCACAGTATATGCTTTATGGCACGAGCTGTTTGCTTTAGTTTGATAAGGTTTCTGTCCATAGGCGAGGAACAATGAAGGAAGCTGCGTAGAAGAACATCAACATGTCTTTCTTGGTTTGGGGAGCCTGACCCTTGGAAAGAGAGGTTCTGCTTCCAAGCCAGGTGAAATTTCAATCATATTTTCAGGATCGCCATTTTGACCTCCATCTTTTTTTTTCACCAAATGTCAAAAGAGTCAAAATGGCGACTACCATCATGTAATCACGATGCTCGTAAACAAAGTACAAAGCACTAAACACCACAACTGCGGTTGCCATTGTTACTTCTTTTAACCCTACTTTTTTTTTTCCAACCCAAGAGTTTGATATGAGTCGGAAAAGTCAAAATGATGATTGCACAACCACACATAATCCCCTGGGGTTATGGCAGGTGTGGGAGACTGAGCAACCGTGCTCAGGAATTCTGGGAGTTGAAGTCCACAAGTCTTAAAGTTGCCAAGTTTGGAGACCTCTGCCATAGAGAAAGGCTGTTCTAAGTCCTCTCTTGGCCCCAAAAGAGACCCATATTCTTTCTCTTCCTCAAAACGGGAGAAGGGACATTCACAGTCAGCCTCTTGAAAAAGAACCAGAAAGGAGCAGGATAGGCCGAGTGTTAAGGTGCAGCTGACTGACCCATCGCATTCCTTCCTGGGACAAAGGACAGGCCACGTCTTCCAGGGGAAGCAAACAGGTTTGACCATTTGCTCCCAGGTAAACAACCACTATTGTAAACCTCAAAGGGCCCTGTTGCTATCTCCTTATCTGGGAGAGGGGGCGTGACTTCCAAGCTGAAAAACATATTAAAAACTCATTCAAGGTGAGCTCACCTTTGGGCCTTTGGTCCTCTCTCTAAGCTTGGTAGTGTTCTTACAAATGTTTTCTTACCGAGCTAGGTATCCTGGAAAAATGACACTGCTTAATACAGCATGTCCACTCTAGCTGGCTAAACTTTCTAAACCAGGGATCTTCAAACTTGACAGCTTGAACTTCAACTCCTAGAATTCCTCCTCCAGTCATGTTAGCTCAGGAATTCTGGGAGTTGAAGCCCACAGGTCTTAAACTCGCCAAGGTTGAGGACCCTTGTTCTAAATTCTTCTTTTTCTACCTTTCATGGAGCTTTCCCCAGCCAGAACGTCGTGCTTAGGTATGTGGCAACTACAATACCCAGAGTTCTCAATGAGAGGAAGAGGGGTCGACTTTCAATGGTGCCCATCTCACCTTGATGAAGTCAAACTGATGGGTGTGCCAGGTGTCTTCCGACAAGGGGTACGTGTCGTAGAGAATCCCTGCATGTGAGAAACAGAGTTTTGGATGTCCAGAAATAAAGGCTTTATGGTTATAATAATCATTTTTTGCTGTCTGGGAATGGGGTGCTCCTTAAATGAACTTCTGGAGGTTTTCCTTCAATCCATGAGACCCAGCCACAGTGGCCAACAATCAGGAACATGGGAGGACTCTTCCTTGTCTTTAATATAATTTGGCTGTCGATGTGCTATCATATATTTATTTATTTGTTGGATCAAGTGTTCAAAAGCACTTGTAATCCAGGGGTGGGTAACTATGGCAACTTTATGACCTGTGGACTTCAACTCCCAGAATTCCTGAGCACGGTTTCCATAGTGTCTCACATCTGCCATAACCCCAAGGGATTCTGGGAGTTGAAGTCCACAAGTCGTAATATTGCTACAGTTTCCCACGCCTGCCATAATCCCAGGGGATTCTGGGAGTTGAAGTCCACAGGTCATAAAGTTGCCACATTTGCCCACCCCTGCTGTAACCCCAGGGGATTCTTGGAGTTGAAGTCCACAGGTTGCAAAATTTCTAAAGTGGGAAACAATCACCCAGAGAAATGGAGGCAATCCTGTTTCGTACCATTAAAATGTCCATCCGGCAAGGTTGGTGCGACATCTTCCCACAGCCCTTTCAAGGGGACAACCTATGGGGGGCCAAGGAAGAGATAGAGTACAATCAATGAAGATGCAAGCCATGTTGCCAGAAAAGCATGCTCATGTTTTAGGGCAAAAGTGTCTTTGTAAAAAGAAAAAAAAATGTTTGCAATGCAAGTAAATGAGGAAAACGAGCGTTTTCATGGCCCCCAGCAATCAAAGTCTCAGATCTGTGAAGTAGTCCAGAGAAGAAGCACCACCAGGAATTCTAACTCTATCCTTATTGTAAGATTCCATTAAAAGAATTTGGCAGGACTGAAAGTACTTTTAATTATTAGATTTTTATCCTCTCTGGTACTTTCTAAGCAACCCGAGGCAGCGAACAGCATACCTAGTACTCCTTCCTCCTCCTATTTTCCTCACAACAACAACCCTGTGGGGTGGGTTGAGCTGAGAGAGAGAGAGAGAGAGAGAGAGAGATTGGCTAGAAGTCACCCAACTGTCTTTCACACCTAAGGCAGGACTAGAACTCATGGTCTCCTGGTGATTGGCCCAAAGACATCCGGGTGGCTTTCATGCTTAAGGCGGGACTGGAACTCACGGTCTCTTGGTGATTGGCCCAAAATCACCAGAAGGCTTTCATCTGTCAGAAATGGTGTAGGGCAGGGGTCTCCAACCTTGGCAACTTTAAGCCTGGAGGACTTCAACTCCCAGAA